ACCCTGAAAGACCGAGATGACATGTCAACCACTTGAAACTCACACATATTCGAATGGGTTGTAGTAACCTACGGGCTTCTTGCTCGATCTTTCGTAGTGTTGCTTGTACTCTTGGTGCAAAGGGTCTGGTTGCATCAATTTCGAAACCCTCTAGCATCTCGATTCTTCTCAAGTGCAATGCCACAACATTATAATATATTGCTGTAATCAATGCTTGAATAGGCAAACCCCTAGCTTTTTTAAGAACTCCATTAAATGACTCTGATGTATTTGTTGTCATAACTCCATAATGAAATCCACCATTATAGGTAAGAGCCCACGATGTAACATCACGCTCTACCAACAACTGGTGAATATCAGCCTTCACCTTTATCATATCTTTCATGTACCTATCAAATACTATTGGGTCATCAGTGTTCCTGGCCATGTACATCTTCTGGCATAGAAACTCAACGTCACCAACACCCATTCGACATACTGCTTTTTAAAATTTTCACGCAGGTGACGAAGACAACGACGATGTGCAGCATGTGGAAAATTTTCATGACAACCTCGCACCAAACCAGCGTGCCTATCATAAATAATACATAAATCAGGTTGGGTGTTAACAATTGGAAGTAGTATATGCAATTGGCTCAAAAACCACACCCATGAATCAACACATTCTGATTCTACAATTGCGAAGGCTAGGGGGTACAATCCAATGTTAGCATCAATTCCCACAGCGGTTAGTAAAGTGCCTCGATATTTGCCTAACAGGAATGTGTCGTCAAGGCAAAGTACAGGGCGACAGTAGCTCTAACCTTTTATCGAAGGCCCAAAGGAGAAAAATAATATCTCAAATCTATGATTCTCAGACGTTTGTAACTTATAAACGGTTTCGGGCATTGAAAACACAACAGCGTCCATGAACAAATTAATGGTTCGGTACGACTCCTCCCAGCTACCAAATACTATTTTCACAGCTTTTCTTCTAGCATCCCAAGCTTTCATATATGAAACTTTTATGTTGAACTTTGCTTCAATTTGACCGATAATCTCTCGCGGCTTGAGATCCATATGCTTTCTGATATTGGGCAATATGAAGTAACTTATAAATTGTGAATTACATTGTCTATGTCACATAACCGAAATTTTGTGAACAATGAAAACTTTCTCAGCCGATAATATTTTTTAAAATGCATTAAAAAATACATAAATGAAAAACTTACGCAGCATATTGTTGCACAAAACTTGGATTGGTTGGACTGCATTCTGTCACCCCGTCGAAAGTATATATCTCGTGCATGTGAGATGTTAGTTGATCAACAGCTATATTACGTGTACTATTTTCTTTGACATCTACATAAAGTATAAGTATTTGCCTAATTGCATGCGATAACACCATCTGACACACATCATCCTCCACAACCGAAGCTATGAACTCATTCCCTATGGGTAGACGACAAACTAAGTTTATTGAGTACTTTGACGTATCATATTTTAGGGATTTCAGAATCCTAATCTTCAGTTGCTCTAAGTTCGTATTTACAGACACTTGCAACGGCCGGTAACTACCCCCAACATATGTTGGTGAATATTTTTCATCTAAAGACAAGTGTCCACCATACATAAGAACAAAGGATGCTCCCCGTCCAGACATTATTGCACTACTAAGTATCGTTTATGATTTCCTACAATTACACAACACAATCTTACTACACTGAAATAATCAAAATCTCACATAAGCATTTAACTAAATATATTTAAATATATTTCTTTTTTTTTCACAAAAGGATAACTAAATATATTTAAATTTCTATTTTAATCGGGAAATTTTTTACTGGCCCATGATTATCTATATTGTACTTCGATATCAAAATCTGACATTAACGTAAATCTATGAATTTCGTAGTCATATTTGACAAAGAAAATTGCATTGTCTAAGAAACGAAAGAATATCCTTATTTCCTTTTATTTTTTTTTTTCATATACTTTTCATATAATATATGAACAACATATTATAAATTTCAAAAAAATGTGAATCTACATTTACTCAAATATATCCTAGCAAAAATTATGTTTTTTCCACAAATCAAATTATTCCTCTAGCTTTCACAAAAAAAATACCACATAGCACACACAAATCCTAAATCTAATCACTAAAGTAACCCTAAACTTCCACCATAAGTCATTTAAATGAAAAAAACTCTTAAAGGAAAGAAATTGAACACAAAAAACATACAAAAATAATGTTAAAACACCCTTACCTCGCGGATAAGCCAAGGTTCGCCGAATATCGCCGAAGCACTTCAACGGCGAAACACAATTTTTAGGGGAGAAAGGGGTCTCCGCGGGGTTTAAAAGAAAAGAGGTAAGTCGCCTGTTTAACGGGCGACTTATCTTAAATAGGTAAGTCTCTCGTTAAACGGGCGAGTTTTAAATTTTTTTTTTCGTTGGTTAATCGCTTAATTATAATTTAAATGATACTTAGTTTAAAAAATTGCCCTTAGATTAATTGACTGTTTTACGATCTTAACTCCTATGCATGTGATTTAGCCTAAGCTTGTCTTACCGTTCTTTGTGTTTTATTTTGTCGTTTAAAATCCATATAAAGATATAATTATTGTGACTCTCTAAATACTAAGCGTGCAAATTCCTTAATCAAATCATCCTTGCATGTATGTTCTACATCATCTTGGTATCAGAGTATGGCTAACATGCGTTACATGTGCTAGAAGTCATCCTAGGAGCTTACCTAAACATTCTTATATATTGTTGCATGCATATTATCATTTAACTTAGT